GTCATTATAATCCGCAATTATGTCCCCACTGGATGCAACAAATGCCTCGTTTATAATGTTTTTTTTTTATGTTTTTGTCTCTTCGCTCCAACCGGGACATGGCATCACAGTATGGTAAGGGGCGTAACATTTCCGTCACATGCTTGAGGTATTCGGCCAATCACAACGCACTGGATAGCTGGCCAATCAGAGCACACCTCGCTTTTCAGACCGATGAACTTTGTAAAAATCGATGCGTTTCAGAAAGGCGGGGCATAGAGGAGAAACAATAATGTACAGTATGTGGAAAATAATGTTTTTTTTTTTACTTTAAACCGCATAAACACATTTCATTACACCAAATACACAAAATAATGTTCTTTTTAGCAACATCATATGACCCCTTTAATTACTATTTCATTAATCTAATCACGAATCCACTTGTACACCGTTTGCTTCTCAGGCTTTTGGAGCTCTCTCTGAAAAAACTGGCAATCAAGTTCGGAAAGTCCTGGAATGACCTGGACGACTTCAAAAGGATCTTCTGGAAGCTAAGAAGTCCCATAGCTGGTAACAATCACTTAATCTGTCCCTGTTGTTTTCTTTCTTTCTTAGTTTAGTTACCAGAAAATATGCATTTCATGTAATTACTGCATTCTCGGAAAGCTCTCTTCCCAGAAAATACCATTGTGTAACATGTTTATGTAACCCTTTAGCTATGTGTAGGAGATCTATATCAAAAATGAACGGCATTTCACAATGTCATGTCAAAATTCCACATTTATTCCCAGCCTTGAATAGCAGATGTTCACACTGCACTTAACCCTATATGATTTTTTAAATCCCTGGATAAAAGCCACTTACTGCCCTGAGTTAAGATAAGCTTCACACATTTTTAACTCTTGATTATGAAAGCTCACAATGCAGCTAACGATGAAGCGGTGCTAAACAGTGTTGGGAAGTTTAGATTGGAAATGTAATAGGTTACAGATTACAAGTTACCCTATTTAAAATGTAATAAGTAGTGTAACTATTTAAATTACTTTATTAAAGTGTAATGCAACTGATTACATTTGATTATTTTTTGATTACTTTTCTAAATTTCTAACGAATGTTTCCAACTGTTAATCATTTAGAAACATTTAAAGTAGGCAGGATTAACCTTACAGTAGTATTCAACACTGATTACTGTCAGACTTCCCCAAATCCTTCTACACTTTAATTAAGATTTAATAGGCTATATATAATAATTACATTTTAAAGCACGGCCACCACAAAATCAGACTTTAGCACATCTTTTTACTTTGAGATTGTTCTGAGGTTAAAATCAGAAGATACTGTATAGTTTAATAGTTATTAGTTACACAAACCCAAATAGGAAATAAAACAGATATCAAATAAGCATGTGCCCTGTTCTGTCCTAAAGTGTGTAAAAATATTCAGCTGTAGCCCCCGTTGTAAGCTTTAACATTTTCATAAATAACTGTAATTAAACTACACCATTTTTCTCAGTAACTGTAACAGATTACAGTTACATTTATTTTGTCATTAAATTACATAGTTCCGTTACATGTATCTAGTTACCCCCAACACTGGTGCTAAAGGTATAAAATGCGAAACAATTAGGTGCAAGAATATATATAAATATTCGAATCGGTTTAACAACAGAAACCAATAATAAATTAAACAGCACTTACTTACCTTACTTATAATGTACTCGTGTACATCTCGTGTCGCATGAACTTCTAGCACGCGCTCTTTTAATGTCTGAGAGAAAAATGAGCAGCGCGTTATCTGGAGTAAAGAAAATACAGTGTTATTCGTTACTTATTGAACAATACATTACAACATATTTAAAAGTACCATAGCGGACATTTCCACAGACAGAAGAGCAGTTATCAAAGCAAGAGGCGGTGGCGTGTTTGTCGTGAGCTATTTTTTTGCCGACTTTATTTACCTCATAAATATGCAAATCAGAACGTTATCCAGCGTTTACACAAGCAGTGCGTAGCACGCAGGGCACCTAAAAATGTAGTGTGAAATTTTGAAACCTGTTGCAGCTGTTTATCGATTGATTTTGTTTATTGGTTGGTTTAAAATGATCATTGCTGAATCAACCATCACGTTATAATACTTAAAATAAGATCAAGCATGGCCTATGTAATAGACCCCTTCTGTAACTGTGACGAGGCAAAAATCTTTCCGAAAAGTCACATACAGAAAGTTACCAATGTCATTAAATGAATAACATGAATTTGTGATCAATATTTTGTTCAGAATACACCATGAAGCACTGGAAAGAAGACAGTTTTTTTGGTTACCAGTTCCTCAACGGCTCAAACCCAAGAATGATTACCAGGTGCAAGGAGCTGCCGTCGAACTTCCTTGTCATGGGAGACATGGTGCAGTCTTCTCTTATACCTACAACAACTTTGAAGGAAGAACTCATGGTGAGAGTTTAGTGTTTATTTTCTTAAATACAGTGGATTATTGGAACAGTGGATCTGATTATGTTTCTTTGTCTCTCCTACTAAAGAAAGGAAATATATTCCTGGTTGATCATGCAATAATGGATGGGATTCCTGCCAATGTAATCAGAGACCAGGCACAGCACATAGCTGCCCCGCTTTGCTTACTATATGAACATCCTGAGAAAGGTCTCATTCCCATCTCCATACAGGTAAAACTTGCTGACTCACATATATTCGGAAACATAAACTAGGATGAATCTACAGCAGGGTTTTCCAAATCTTACTCCTGCCTCCATCTGCCGAAAATATGTTTATGTTTGTGTTTTTTACCAAAAAGAAGATACTTTTTTTTTCTTTTTTTTTAGAGAAATACATCTGAATTAAAGACAAAGTATCAAAACATGAATTTTGCAGATAGGGTATTAATGTAACAATCATAGTAACATTACAGGAACCTATCCAGAAATTAACTGTCAAACACTGATGTAAAAAATCAGAAATGTCTGATTGTTCTTCTCCCTTCCTTTCAGCTTGAACAGAAACCTGATAAGGACACACCCATATTTCTACCTAGCGATCCACCTCTGGCCTGGTTATTGGCAAAGATGTGGGTTCGTCACTCTGAGTTCCAGGTCTTTCAGTTGTTATCACATCTGTTACGCACACACTTGGTGGTTGAAGTGATTTGTGTGGCCACACTCCGACAGCTGCCTGCTGTTCACACTATATATAAGGTTAGAGGAAGTCTACAGGAAGTGCTTTTTAGGAAAGATACATTTGCATGTTTCAAAGCATGTTTAAAGTTAGATAATCACCGATGCATCAAAATCGCTAGTCATTCATTAAATTATCCAGCTGTATTGTATGTTAAGACTCTTCTTCACTTTTTCTTTCTGTCACTTTTTCTCTCATTGCAGCTCTTGGCTCCACACCTGAGGTATACACTTGAGATTAACTGTCGTGGCAGAACACAGCTGATCTCCCCAGATGGCATCTTCAAAAGGGTGAGCATCTGTACACAATGTAGTTTGCTAGTGGACAGCTCAGAATATGAACCCTTCAGAGCAAAGCCTGCCGCCAAAATATTGTTCAGGACCACTACAATAATCTTATTTGTGAGCGTGATTTCACCAAATACAACATGTTCCTGGATCAACATCCTTGTTGATCCTGGAACAACATTCCAATTAACCAATCAGAATTGAGGGATAACTTTTCAGGAAATATCTGTTTTAGGCTTACGATCAAGGTTAGGTGCTTCTACACCCTTGTTAATCAGATATCATTTCACACTGATTTTAGGAATAAATTATGGGTAGGGTTAGGTTTAGGGGTAGGGATTGGGTTTAGTCTATATTTTTGGACAGTAATGTTGATCTAGGATCAACAAAAGAAGTTGATCCAGGAACATGTCTTACTTGGCAAAATCACGGCGACCAGATTTTTAGTGGTCCGGGTTCTTATCACCCCCCTGAAACTAGCCAACCACAGACAACATAACTAGTGTATTTTTAATTCACTCAGTTGGTCATAAATGTCAAAAATTGTGTTTTTCAGGTGGTATCAACAGGTGGAGATGGACTCTTGATTCTGGCACAGAGGGAGTATGAAGTATTAACCTATCGCTCCCTCCAGCCCAAATTTGACTTCTTGGACAGAGGAGTTGCTAAACTAAGAGACTATTTCTACAGGGACCATTCTCTGATGCTGTGGGATGTCATTCAAAAGTAATTTATTTAAATAGGATTTCTTTATTCAGTGCTTTTAATTCTTATGACTGTAGATGTACTATGGGCATAATTCTTTGAGACGTTTGCATGTGAATGAAGCAGTGTATATAATTATAAAACTCTTGTATTATCAGACCTATTTCTTTAAGCACTTTTTTCCACTCTTAGTTTTGTTTCAGGAATAGTTTCCCTGTACTACAAGAGTGATCATGAAGTTGAACAGGACTCAGAAATTCAGGCGTGGATTAATGAGGTGGCTGTGGAGGGCTTTGTGGATGTGCCACATTTTGGTAAGATATGAATACATGACTGCATCATTGGACTCACAAATGTACTGTAGTGGATGAAGAATATATTTAGAACCCTGTGCAGTGTATTTATTTAGGCTTGACAATATACACTACAGTTCGAACGTTTGTGGTCAATACCATGTTTTTAAAAGAAATTAATACTTTTATTCGGGAGGATGCATTAAATTGAACAAACGTGACAGTAAAGACATTTCAAATGTTATAAATGATTTCTGTTTCAAATAAATGCTGTCCTTTTGAAATTTTATTTGATGTATCTTGGTTTCCACAAAAATATTGAGCAGTACAGCTGTTTTCAAAACTGATAATAATAAGTGTTTTATGTGACACTGAAGACTAGAGTAATGTTTGCTGAAAATTCAACTTTGCCATCACAAGAATAAATAACATTTAAAAATATATTAAGATAGAAAACAGTTTTGAAATTGCAATAATATTTCACAATATTACTGTATTTTTGATCAATTAAGTGTAGCGTAAGGGACTAATTTGGTGAGAACAGGAGACTTCTTTTTAATAAATCTTGCCAACCTCAAATTTTTGGATGGTAATATAAATCATCCTATACAATCATACCAAATACAGGTCACCAGTATTGAATTTTAAAAATGTCAAAAGACATCAGGGGGATGTATATGCACATTCTACATGCCAGATACACCATTAAGTCGAGATAAAACAGGAAAAGGAAGTAATAAAGAACATAAAGGATAAGAATAAGTGCCCCCATGTGGTTATTAGAGGAAGAAACTTGCCCTCATCACAATGAACTACATGAGCTAAATAAATGGCACTTGAAATTAGGAGTAAGCTAGGAGTAACGGTTTGTTTCTTGCATGTCAGGCCTAGCTAGTGAGCTGAAGACAAAAGAAGAACTCATCACACTGTTAAGCGTGGTGATCTTTACCAGCACAGCACAACATGCTGCCACCAATAATGGACAGGTAACTAACACATCACATCTTATCAAATATAAAAACCTACTTTTTCTACACTATATTGAATGCAGGTTACCAGAAACAATCATTTACATGAAGTGTGTTACCTAAGGGTTAAAAATCATTACATAGCTTTATTGTGATCACTGTTGATCTTCGTCTCTGTACTGTAGTTTGATTGGTGTGCATGGGTACCCAATACGCCCTGCACAATGCGGCACCCTCCACCAACAGATAAGGATGCTGTCACCATGGACCTGATCATGGACACACTCCCCGATATCAGCCAGTCCTGTCTGCAAATGGCCATCACATGGCATTTGGGCAGGGCACAGCCGGATGCAGTGAGTCAATAGCACAGGCTGTCACAACTTTTACATTATTTATGGTCATATAAAGTACAGTATAATCCATATTTATAAGTAACATCAGACTATATCCATCCAAAAGAAATGTCTTTCCATGAAGCATTAAAATTAATTAGCCTTTAATAAAGTATCACAATGATGACTTCAACACTTCTGTTTCCTCTCTTTTCTTCAGATTCCAATGGGCCAGTATGTGGAACAGTACTTTACTGAGCCTGCTGCTTTGAAAGTGATTGATAAATTCAGAAAGGAGCTGAAAGAACTGGAGGAGCATATAATAGCTCAGAATGAGGGACTAGAACTGCAGTACCTTTATCTGTGTCCAAGTCGCATGGAAAATAGCATCACCATTTAGAGAAAACGCTCATTCTACATTTATGAGTATAATTATGTGTCTGTGAACATTTTCGTGCGTAGGTCAGCTAAATCTTAAAATTAGCACACATTCAAATAACACCCAAAGTACCTTTCTTAGCTATAGCTGAGGCTAATACTTTTCTCCGGAACGTCATCCCTAACAGCAGAAATACTGTGACATAATTATGTAATTAATTTAGTCTGTAACATTTTTTAAAAGAATCAAGGCATTAAGCTTTTTTACATTCAATTTTTGTTAACAGTATTTATTTTTACTTTTGAAAATAGTTAAAACCTAAAAATAAAAGTCTTTTTAAACTTTATTTCATAAGGCACGGTTTGGATGGTACCGAATTGTTTTCTGTTGATTTTTACTAACCACTGTATTCTTTAATAAATGTGGTAAGCTTCATAAAATGCACTTCATATATGCTACATATATATAGTACATTTTTTTTCCCAGATGAAGACAATGAAACATGCATTACTGTTATACTTTTACCCTAACAGCTATATGAAAAAACATGCTTTGTACATTCCATAGCAAATAAAGTCAGTTTCATTTTTTTTATATCGATTGTTTAATACCATTTAAAACCTTCAGTAGTTAAAGTTTTGAAAGTCTCCAGTTGTACATCTAAAAAATGGTCTGTAATTTTAGAACCATGTTTACGGAGACAAGGTCTACACTTATCAATTCCTATAGTGACAAATTGCATAGGCAAAATCATTTTCAGTCATTTATTGTGAAAACAACCAATGTGACCATGTGAAATTCCATTGAACATGTACTCAATGAGACTGTATATTTGATAGGTGTATTAAGTATAAATAAAATCACAATTAAATCATTTATCAGCAGTGTTTGGTAGGTCCACAGATCAAAATAGCACTATAGAAGGTAAAGTAATGAAGTACCACATAATAATAATGGGCAGGAGCACACATCTTATATTTGATAGGCTTCAAGATAGAAAGGCAATAAAGAAAATCACAGTAAAATGCATTATCCTATTCCATCCAATTATCTACATTCATTTAAGAGTCATTTTAAGGCACATGGAGCATTATTACATACAAACACAAGGGAATTTAGAGGTAGAGTTATACTCCAATCACTAGGTGGTACTAATGCACTAGATATTCCTTGCGCTTGTTCAGGCGAACCTGACAAAATGACAAGAATCCTATGCCTACATAGAGTACTGCTGCAATGAAGCAATTGTATCCAACTTGGTTGTACAATTTATAGATGTTTTGCAGTGCTTCCCCCCTGAAATGAGAGAAAAGAATCGTGTTTGAAAACAACCTAAACACCTTTAACAGGACTGGACTACACTTTTGGACAGACTGAGGGGGGAAAACAGTCATGAAATCTTGTGAATACACGTGACATTCCCTATGCTAGACAGACATATTTTCCAGCGTAACTAAATGAGTAAATGGCAAAAGGAACTGACTTGAAGTCTTCCGCTGTGAAAGGTACATCCTCTCTGAGCACAGCTGAATGTGTGGTGAAAAAAATCCCCAACATTGCCTAAGAGAAATAAGACAGAAAATGTTGATTATGGTGTAGGGCTGTATTTCTCCCTTCACTGGCACTGTCTGCTAGTTTTCATATTCAGTGTCCGCACACCTTTATGATTTTCACCCCCATGACTTTTCAAGTAGTTTGTAGTGACTGGATAAGGATTTAATATCAATATTTTTATAATGATAGGCCTCACAAAGAGCAATTTCTAGCTAAATGAATAAATACTTTAGCTAAAATTATATTGACTAGACATTTCCATTACTTTTCCAGGCCTGCAAATCTAACTTTTATACTTCCCTGATATTTCTAAGTTTTCCAGGACAATGGGAACTGTGCATTATTGTTGACATTATGTGTGAAGGCAATTTATTTATTACAGTTCCCAAAAAAAGTAAGATATGCTTAATGTATTGTAATGACCTTTCAGCATGTATAAACCATGTATAGAAAACAGAAAAATAGTGACACAATAGAGAATATTTAACTTACCAGCATAATGACACCCCAAATGCTCAGGACCAGTCCACATGCTGCCAGTTTAGGACCGCAGAAAAGCAAAGAAGCCATTTCTATAATAGAAGCTTTTCAGCTACTCAGAGACACCAGAGGACCGTTTACAAATAAACTTTATACGACCGTTATTTGAACTTTTAGAAGTAACTTTCAAGTTATTTTGGCCTCGGTAAGATCGATGTCAACAGTCACCCGATTAAATCAGCTGACTTTAGAGGAAGCGGAAGTACAGTGACTCCCGACTCGAGTGCAACGTCATAAAGAGTTTGAAACAAACTTTAAGTAATAAGCACTTCATTAATATTCAGAGTTCTGTCTATTCACAACAATCTAGCTCTATTGCAGTCATCTTTTGCTTGGTTTATTAGACCAAATAAACTGATAAAATATAACACCAGTGACCTGATTGTTTTGAGCATTGAACGTTTATATTCCTTGAATTATAAAGTTATTTAAATGATGTTTTGTTTTCAGCCGAGCGTTAATGTAAATGTTCTTAAACACAAACCCTGCAGTTCACTGATGGTTACAGTTTTGCCGTCATAAATTAGGCATGTTTAGACTTGTTGACATTTGACACCTAAACCCAAGCGGTTTTCTTTTCATGTTAGAAACAAACATTTTGTGTAACCATTTTTAGGAGTTATGGACAACATATTTTAAGGATTTATTCTCTAATCTTTCGTAATAATAGCAAATGACTGAAACTGGACACCTGGAGTGGTTACTTTTTTCACCCTTTGCTCATTCTCCTCCCTTCACGTTCTCTCCCCATAACAAAACGTCGCCGAATTCCTTTAGTTTTTGGCTGTCGGCGTTGAGAAATGTTTAAGGAACAAAATGTTGGATTGATTGAATAGATGAAAATCAGTACATATAACCCTCTAAAGAACGTAGTGTAAGGAGCGGAAAAGAGATAGAAAATTCATCATCTCCATGGATGAAAAAGAGTGAGAAGGATAACGTAGAGGAGGAGGAGGAGGGCGCGTAACGGGACAGCACGGAGGATAACAAGTTGTAAAGTCCAAGAAAACTATGGAAATGTATGATTTTTGACAGCAGGGCATAATTTGCAAACACATTCCACCAAAAAAGTAAGTATACAGTTTGTAAGATGCATTGTGTCAGTGCAATACGTGGCCAAACGTGATAGCACACGGCTACATCAACATACTTTTAAATAAGTGGAATGTATAAATTACGTAAAATACCGAAATATCTTTATGTTTATGATTTAAACCTAATTTCCAAACCAGTCAGTATTTGTTAAGAAAGAGTTAATGTTTTGGGATATTGCCGTTTCTGAGGTAATACAGAAGATGGCCCCTCATGTTCTGGATGTTGTAACGTTTCTAGGAAAAAAAAATGATGAAATGTTTCGTCCATATTCTGTGAAAGGCAAACAAACCCCAGACGTTGCATGACGAGCTGTTTTACTAAGTAAAATGTTACTAGTATCAATACACACTAGTGTCTAATATTTAGGGACTAGTGTTTGTTTTAGTAAAACTAAGAAAACTGAAGACATTGGTAGCTATTTTGAATTATTAAAAGTTACAAGAATAAGTAGCCTACTAGTACTTAATAAACAAATACTAAAAACGGAATAGGTACCAGAATTAATTGAATACATGGTCTGTTGTGACATATGAACCACAGAACTCCATAGAATTGAATGGAATTGAATCACCATTAGTACTAGTAGCAAATAAATAAAAGATAGTATGTACTAGGGTCTCATTGAATAATATTAGTGAAACTGAAAAAGGTACTAGACACTAAAGTACTGTATAGTATAATTATATACTATAATTAAAAAGTACTTTATAGTACTGAGTACTATAAACAAACATAGATACTAGTTCATTTTAAAGAATATATGTTAAAACAGTTTGCCATATATGGGTTAGTTGGTTCTGATCTGATGATGCCAGTTTTTATTATTATTATTATTATTTTATTAAATATATTGTCTTCTTGATCCTCACTCTTATTCTGTCAGGGACCTTGAGAATGGATGGAGAAAAAGAAAAAGAGCTGGAGAGAGGAGATGAAAAAGAGAGTGATGAGACAGAGGAGGATGCAGAGGGGGCAGCCTTATTATGGCACGGGGGATACCCTGATGATGAACTGGGCTTACCCATCATGCACTGGGAGGATCTGAGTCTTCGTATTGCTGAACTTGAGAAGCAACAAGAAGAGCGGAGACAGAGGGAAAAGGTCTGAATGAAAGTAAAGATAGTAATGTGCCTTAAATGGTCAAAGATTAAAAAAACAGATGACACTTTGTTTTGGATTGACAAGAGCTACAGTTCTTTTGCTAGTACGAGTCCTTGACTATTTATTTACAATAACGGCTGCCATGGATTTATATTAAAAAAAAAATTCTCTGCAGGACTTGGACAGGCTGACAGTAGACTGGCCAGAAATCAGAGGGCTGAGCAGTCACAGAGAGCCCTGTGAGGACATGGAGGACGAATGCAACAGTCGTCTGACTGCTCTGACATCAAGGTCACACAGATTTAATAAATCTCAATTTCCTTTCTTTCCACTTCTTCAGAATTTGAATAAAATCTATAGCAATTGTGCTTTATTATACTAGGCTTCAGAGCCAGATGAATCTACAGCTCTGCTTCATCAACAACAGTGAAAGTGAAGAGGAAGAAGAGGAAATGGAGGCAAAGAAAGAGGTAAAATAAATTGCAGTATTGCCGTTTTCACTGTTAGTGGAAGTGGGTGGCAACATACTGTAATGTGAATAATGTGAACAACTTCAGTGGGTGTAGTGCTCAGATGGATCGAGATAAAGACATACATTTTTGTTCATGTCTGTTTAATGATGAGATTTATACTTGGTAAGATTAATAATTGCTTTTGTTGCACTCTTTGCTACCTTTTCAGGTGGCAAAACAGTCCAGTAAGAGTGGCAGCAATCAGAGGTTAGAGAAGGAATGTGGTTCAAGCTCTGCATCGACAAAGAAAACCAAATCAAGAGGGTTCAAGAATGATGTCAGAGCTGCACTGAGTGTACTCAGACATAAATTGAGATTGGAGCAAAAACAGGTTGGAACAGAGCACATATTCATGGTCTCGTGTCCTAAGTGTGCATTTCATTTTATGTATTTGTTAATTTCAAGAAGCACATCTATTCAAATAGTTAGGTATTAGTTTGTATTAGTTATGTAAATGCAATGTTCTGCACATTACCATTCAAATATTTGGGGTCAGTAAGAATTAAAATAAATAAATTAATGCTTTAATTCAGCAAGGATACGTGAAATTATTTGAATACGTTTTACTGCATGTTTGATCAAATAAATGCAGCCTTGGTGAGCATAAGAGATTTTACATTTTAAAAGTCTTACCGACCCTAAACATTTGAATAGTTGTGTATATATATTCAAAGTCATAATTGCACTCCACTGACCCCCATCACAGACTATACCTCCCAGTGAGGCTGTCAGAGAAAGGAAGCACTATGAACGAAATGACTTAAAGAATTTCAGCTTGAAGGAGTTGAAAGCATTGAGGACCTCACTAAGCAAAGACATCCATGGTAAGCCAAAGTATTAACTGTTACATTACATTGATGATGTCTGTTGTGAATAAATAAGCGTATGTCTGTGTATGTGTGTAGACCTCAGTTCAGAGCTGGTGGGTCGACTTCTCACAAGGGACCAGCTAAGAACAGAGCAGGACGCCATGCTACTGGAGGTACAAGATATGACATCACTCTGATGCACAATCAGAAAAAAAAAAGTATGTCCACTAAGGAACAAAATGACGGGACCTTTCCTTTACAAGACTGTCCATGAGCTGCCTGAACTAATTGACTTTACTGTGAAAAGCTACAGCACTCCATCATCACTTTGAAACCCTTTAAAGGTTTTTATAGTTTTTCATTTCAGCTTTTTTATTGACATTTTTAAGGCACCGATGAGGATTTAAAACTGCAGTTTACACTCTTACAGTTGCAAGATCAGACTGATAAAGCAACAAAGTGAGAAAAGGCCACATTCAAAGCAACAAAAGACAATTTTTTGCTCAATATTACTCTAATTTGTTTAGTGGCAAAGCCAATTATGCCAAGCCTCACATGTTAAGACATGGCTCATTAAATGCTACAAAGTATGAACAAAGAGTGAAAAATTGAAGGGGGTCTGAATACTTTCCGTACCCACTGTACATTGCTAAGCAACTCTTAACTGGATTGTTTGTGTCACTGTTTGTGAAATACTTAAATATTATTTTGTGGAATAAAAGGGAACTCAGAAAGATCGTATATGTGTACTGTTTTGTTGTAATGGTATATTATTGCTCTTCTGTTGTGTGTGTCTGTGTGTATTTTGCCTAGCCAGAGTTTGTGTTGTCAAAAGGCCAGCTCAGCACTAATAGAGGAAAGAAGAAAGAGGGAGGGACAGATCATGGAGCAAGAGATGACCAAGGAGGGTTGGATTGAGAGAATGGTCAAAATAGTTCAAGAAACTGATGTGAAAGGGAAAGATTCAGGGCTGCATCCAAATCGTCTTTGATTTGCTCTTCTGTATTTTCTTCTTGATAGTCGAATTAGCTGTAATTGTTTTCAGTGTGGGAATAGAGGCATTCCTCAGGTTTTATTTATAGGCTACTGAGACTCTTAATTTTTCTAAAGAGAACTTTATCGCTCTACTAAAAAGGTAAGTGAAATATTTTTAACAGCTCGTGACCAGATGAAATAGCAGTTTTTCGCTGTCCTTGCATAAGTCAATGGTGTTTTACAGTTTACAAATATTTTGCTTTCCCAGAAAAATGTTAATATGTATCTTGCCTATAAATATTCTTGTGTTTTAGTCTCACTATTAAATAAGTTTACAGCTATGCATGGCAGTAAACTCTTACAATATATAGGCAATGTGAAGGGTTGTTTGCATTGTTTATGATGTCTGATTCCCCAAGTAAGGGCCGTGTTATGTATTTAGCCAAAGCAGACTACCTTAATGTCATTTAGTGACCTTCAGATAATGACTGATTTATTTACATAGTGTCTTATATGTCTGAGAAGTGGTAGGCAATAAGCAATTCACCACAAGCTCAGTCAGCTGTGTGCTAACTTTACCGGGAGGTGGGGATAGCCATGACATCCATAGAATCCCAAAGGATGTTTAATGTGCAAATGGATCCAAAGGGAGTCTAGGCGTAGTTTGACAAAGGCTGACTTTAGGTTTCTAAAGCCGGCAATTACATATCGTTTATATTTTTTTCGAGGAAGAGAGATGGGGTAGAGAGTTCTGACGTGAGGGATGGGGTAAGGGGTGGGTAAGATAGAATAGAACATAGAGGGGAAGTGTGGTTACTGTTTGATGGGTTAATGAAGTGAAAAGGGTCTGAATCAGCAGCATATATACCTATGCGCAAACAGTACCGGGGGTTGTGAAAGAGAAAGGGGGATGCGGGGAGGGCCTGTGTGGGATGACAACTGCTTTTATAGGTTTTGAAAAGCTGGTACATTTTGTGAATCCTAAAAGCAATGTATCTCTCTCTAAACTAGACCAGACGGAGGGGATCGCTGGAAATTCAAACTAATTTGTTTATTGGAGAAGACGTGGTTTCAGAGGCAAAGAATGGGAGGATGAAACAAGGACGCCCCCTAAGAATCCGATTAGGAACTAGCCGACAATGACGAGCGTGCCTACTGTTTTGTTTGAAACAGAGAAGGGGGCAGATGCCCAGCTTTCCTCCTCACATAATTCTTCAGTTACTGGCTCCTGCAATATTGACGAGTCCTACAAGTACATCTTCCTGCCCATTTGCTACTCCTTTACCTTTGTCTTCAGCATAACCCTTAACTTTGTAGTTCTCTATCGTTCCTTTCGACGCACCAGGCACTGGAATGCTTCCCTGATTTACATGGTGAACCTGGCCACGACAGACTTCATGTATGGTTTATCCCTGCCCTTTTTGGTGGCCAGTTATGTCATGCGGGACGACTGGGTGTTTGGAGACTTCATGTGCCGTCTAGTGCGATTCCTCTTCTACTTCAACCTCTACTGCAGCATCTTCTTCCTCACTTGTATCTCAGTGCATCGCTACCTGGGCATCTGCCACCCCATGAAGACCATCACCTTGGAGACCAAACGAGCAGTAAAGGGGACTTGCGTTTTGGTGTGGATTGCTGTTTTTGCACTAACATGCCCAATTTTTCGTTTTGCACAGACTCAGTATCTTCCACGTGATGGTAAGGGCTCAAGGGAGGAGGTATTCAATAATTGCTGGGACGATGCAATTGATAGAGAGTTCCATGATTACATCCCTTATGGGGTCACGCTTCATTTCTTAGGGTTTTTTGTGCCATTTACCATCATTGCCTGGTGCTACTCGCAAGTAGTGTTAACAATATTTCGGACGCTGCACTCTCAACCTCCTCCTCAAAGAGTCAGAAGTGGGACGGGCTGTGAAAGTGTCGCAGGGTTAGGTGGAGAGGGCATGTCAATCATCTTGGGGGCTCATTCGCCCTATGTCAACAGGCGGCGCAAGTCCATCAAGACCATCATTACTATCACTCTCCTCTTTGCCCTTTGCTTCTTCCCCTTCCATGTCACTCGCACCATTTTCCTACTGCTGAAAGTGACGAGTAGGGTGCAATGCCACACCATGCGCATGGTTTCCATCTGTTATAAAATCACTCGGCCGCTGGCCTCATTCAATGCGTGGCTGAATGCACTGCTTTATTTTCTTACTAAAGAGAAAAATGTGCCCTGCTGTCAAAAACCTGAACATGCCCAGCATGGCCTGCTATGGCCACTTAGAATGCTGGGAAAGGGAGAGGAAGAGGAGAATGAAGTTGAGGAGACAAGGAACCACAAGGACAACGGGTCAACAGATGAAAAGAATACATGCAGAGGTCTACCTTAAGGAATGACCATGTAAACATGTGACAGTGTAGAACATCAACAAGTGAAACTGGTGGACCTGCCTTTATATGGGATTCATTTGAAACAAATGTTTTTGATGTTTTTGTTATATTCTCTGTATTTGTATAACTGTATTGTGTATTCACATTAAACATGGAGGATCTTGTCGTTTTGTCTTTTCAAGACCCCTTACAGATTGTTTTACTTGTTGATTGCTTGGATGGTTAATTAGTTATTGTGAAAAAAAAAATTTGAATATTGATTTAGTGTAGGCCTATATTAATTGCAAAAACATATTTTAGAATAATAAACTAATTTATAGGGTGTCTCATGTTTGCAGTTGTTGGCATACCTCAGGGTGGACACATTTTGTGCAGGAACTATGTTTAGCGCTGTCATGGATTAATATGTCATGTTGTCAATAATTAAACTGTTCTAATAAACATTTTCTGAACCCGTTTAAATGAAAATCAAAATATGGCTGTGATCTTTTAAAATCACTATACATTATTAAGCACTATTCCAGATTTTTATGTCTTTGTGTGAGTACAGAATCTAAATTTGTTGTAGAATAAACTTCTTAAGGGTCGAGGTGTCGGCTTAGGCATCTTGTTCACATTATATTTCTTTTAAGATTAAGAGGCAAAAGAACATTACACATTTTAGAAAATGCTGATCATTTCTACATACAAGTCTGAATTGTTCATTCATTTAACATACTTACAATGACCTTTTTCCATAGTTGCTAGAAAGTGTCAGTCCAGCTATTTTATATATATATATAAATCCCCTTTTTCATACATTTATATTGTATATTACCATGAACCTCACTTTGTGTACTTTCTAAGTACACTGGACATGAGTACATCAATATACAGCATAAGCAGCCTATACCCTTTGTCCTTCCGTCTTTCTCAAATAAGTTAAAACCAGATGATCCACGAAAAACCTCAGCTACATAGACTGTTATTAAGTTGGCTTGAGAAAGCCAACTTACTGAAATGCTATTTACTATCTATCTATCTATCTATCTATCTTAAACTTCAAACTATTTCTGACTGAAAACCATCAAACTTAAAACTTTTTAAACTTAAACTTTTCAATCTTTTCAATCTTTTTCAAACTTTCTAGAACCGGCTTTCTCAAGCCAACTTAAAGTTTGTCTTGACGAACTTTTTTATCTAGTTACTACTTGGTATTACATTGGTTAATGATAAGCTGTCCTGTTGCAAGATTTCCTGAACCAAAGGAGCCTGTATAAATGTAAACATTTATATATGGCAGTAGTGGAAGAATGCATGTTATAGATGAAATACCTTGTCAGCATAATAATGTAACACTTTTTGTTCTTCTAAGATCTCAGTATAACATACTGTATATGATACAGATACAGGCACGATGCACAGATCATGTATATTGAGTATCTAGATGTTTTAATATGGAAGAGATGTTTTGCCTAGATGTTGTCTTAATTCATAATTCAGATATTTATTTTTTTTGCAATAACTGCAGACACCCTGGAGCAGTGACAGAAATTATTATTATTATAATTATTATTCTTTTTATAAGATGCAATGTTTATTTTCTAGATTTTACCATATAAAACACACAGAATGATGTTTGTTTCAAATACCTCAAATCCATACTATCCAGAAATAGAGTAAGGTTACTTATATATATAAATATCTGGTGCATTTTTGTGTCATTTTTGACACAGGTTTCTGACCCTGTCCTGGACATTATATATCGGGCTCTGTGTACTCTTCTCGTAATAATATGTTGCTAGATTTGTAAACTGACGTAAAGATAAACAGTGTGTTGGATTCGTCAGGCAAAAAACCAAGCTCTTGACGTCGACTTTAGAAAATACACAGATAATACAAACAGGGGGCGACATTGTGGCCATTCAGGATTTTAGTTGGGAAATTTAAAAGAAAACCTTCCCGACCTGCACCGCGGCTGAGGCAGGACCTGACGGTTATTAAAAAGTATAAAAAATAACTATAAATGATAGAAACAAATAATTAAACAATGGATAACTAGAATAGCTTATGTTAACCAGCGTGCAACAAATCCGTTTGTGAAAAAAAATATTTTTCACCGAGGAAAATGTATATTTATTTTTTTATCTGTCCCGTGTCATCACAGTGGTAGAGCTGCAGCAGTGGAACATTGGCGCCGTTTTCAAACTTCAGAGCCTCAGTGACTGGAACTCTTGTAACAGCTACATTATTCCTCATTATGATTTTTTTTCTTTCATTACTTAACTATTATTTTATAAACATTGGGAACTGGAAGAGTATTTTCATGAAAGGTAAGTAATTCTTACTCCTTTATTTATATAATTATAATAAGGTTTTTGTAATCGATATATTTTTTTTACAAGCTTCGTCAAATGTGTCCCCTTTATCATTTATTATTTACTGACTGCGAGTTATATTTTTTATATAAGTAACAAACATGTAGCTGTGAATACAAAGTAATGGTACTTTCACAAAACATGTATGTTTTATAGAATTACAAGGCGTTGGTAACTTTATATTTGTTGTTTAGGGTACTTTTCTTTTGTGTTTTAAATAAAAACAAACATACTTCCTTACTGTAGTTAAGCGGACTACCTCCAAAACGTGTTGGAACCCGCGGGATAACGTTCAAACAACTTATTACAACTTAAGCGATGCTTTGAATATATTGACAGCATAAAGCAAACCGAATAAAGTAGTCTTTGTCATATGTTAGCTTTTAAAGACAATGATTTCTCGGTGCCGCTAATGTTCTGAACCACTCCCCTCTGTTGCTGTCCCCTCACCCACAACCAGGCTTTAAGCACTACTTCCATCATTATGTGGAGCGAATTAAAAAAGGGGAACTCTTTTAATTCGCTCCACGTAATAATGAATTTGGAAGTTAGATATGTTCACAGCGATTTCTTCAACTGAAAGAGCGCAGACCGAAATGAAAATATATCGTCTAACATCGAAATGACAGTTAAAGTTGTTATTCGAAAATTAAAACGTTGGTTCGACAAATGACAACTTAAGTTGACGGTATGACGAAACTCTGCAGAAAAATAACGACCTTTTTTTGAACGTAACGTTAGTTGAAAACGCGCTTTGAGGTGACATTCGAAACCACGAGAGATTTGTTGGCGACGAATCAAAAGTTCAAGTTTCCAAGTGTGCAATTTTCAAAACTATTTATTACCTGCCCCACAATATAAATCAAAATAATTCTCGATACCCGACTAATTGTCTGTTTTGAAACGTACATCCGTCTTATATCGATTCAGATGACTACGTTTGAATAACTCTGATTTTATCCCGTTTCTCTTAGTTAGGCAAGACAATAATTATTAAGCCAGCCAATTAATATTCCAGTTTGTAATATCACAATCTATTGTCCTGGTTTACTATTTATATGTATCTAGTATATGTTTTTGTCTAATCCAGTTACAATTACTGTCAAACCAATTAATCTGCAAATAAACACAGACATTCGAGTAATATTATAGAATGATGTTTGACTTTGCTGCTGTTTTAAAAGTAGCCCTAAAGTGTTATAATTATTATTAAAAGTAATGTTATGACCTTTTACAATGACCCTGTAACCTCGTGATAAAAGTACACATCGCGTTTGCTTAGTTTTGGCATGGATTTTGCTTTATAGTTAATGTATTAATTCCAGAAGTTTCCTTGTTGTCTTTTTCTTTTCTTGGACTCACAAGATTTTCATGAACAATTTTAACATTCGAAATGCAGTAAAAGGTTTAGCAAGTGATTCTTGTCTAATTTACTATTTCTAGAATATCCAAAAGTATGTAGTGTGCAAGTACTGCATTGACTGAGCTTTTTTTGAACAAATGAATAGATGGCATAGAGTGAGGATGAGGTCTTGGGCATGCCATGAAAGCTCTGCACCTGTTCCTAGATGTCATATTTAACAATATTCCTTGATTTTGCTACACATCTGCTGAAAGTAGTATAAGGGAGAGGCTGGGCATGGCATGGGATGGACCATTTGGAACTGAAAAAAGAAAAAACAAATTTCAAATAGGTAATTAAAAAAAAAAAAAAAAAACCCTGCTCAATAACCGCATACTGCCATATGATTTACATAATTTTATATGATTGTTATAAAGTCTGTTGTAGTTATTTATAATATTGTGAATTGTCAGTTTTTTCCCCTCATTGTTTCATTCAAGTCTCTTTATTTGCAGTTGTCAAAAAAAAACAAAAAAAACTTTTGCTGCTGGCCTTTTACGTTTTTAGTTGGGGTATTTTTAGTCTTCCTGTTTTGGTGTGCGGTTCCTGAAGCTTTGTGCTTTTGTTTTTGGTTGTACGAGATGATACTGGTAGGATTAAAAGGTAAAAGACAAGGGACTGTACACTTTTGGTACAGAAATGATCTTCACAAAGAGTACAATATAAGTTTGCTCTTTTAGTTTAATCTTTAAGAATTTTATAATGACAGTGAATTTTTTAAATGTGTTATTTTGCATTAGCTGTGTATTATTAGTAAATTATTTCAAAGCTGATTTGGTTTCTAACCTGGTTGGTTGTATTAGCCTGTAAAAGACATTTTGTGAAATGTAAGGTTGAATTTTAATTGAATTTTCCATGACAATATATTCATCTGAAAATGTATTGATTGCTGGACATTAATTTCTCTTTTAATTCTGCTTTTTTGACTTGAATTATCACAGAGGTTTTGTCATGTCTGGCTCTGTTTGTGTGTG